GGTCTTCCTTATTCACTGTCCAGCTTTCGCATGCATATGAGGTTATTGAAAATACCATGGCTTGGGTCAGGTGCACCTTAGTCCTCAAGCTGACACCTTTGCTCTTCAACACTTTAAAACGGTCTTGTGCAGCAGATTTGCCTAATGCAATACGTCATTTGATTTCTTGACTGCTGCTTCCGTGAGCATAGATAGTTGATCCAAGAAGAATGAAGTCCTTGACAACTTCAATCTTTTCTCCGCTGATAGAATGTTGTTTATTGGTCCAGTGGTGAGGATTTTTGTTTTCTTTTCATTGAGATGCAGTCCATACCGAAGGCTTTGACCTTCATCTGCCTCTCTAACCTCCCTAAATCCCAAACGGCCCCTCCTCTTTCCCGGGTCTTCTTGACCGGTGTTTTGGAAGATAGCAGGCTGCCCGTGGTGCAGACGGCCCTGCAGTGTGGGTTGGCCCAGCCCCTCAGATCGCCTCTCTGGCAAGTAAGTCCCAGAACAATGCTAGGTCCCATGGCTTCCATCATGTGCCAGAGGAGGCTCTTGTGTCCCAGGACTCGTGCTTGTTCCTTGTCATGAATAATCACTTGTGGAGAGACAGAGATCATGTCAGCACCTGGTCCTTCCCCCATCATCCACAGCGGGAGCCTTGGCAGCCTGTGTCCATTCATGTCTGTGTCTGTCATTTCAGACGCATGGATTCATATGACCTAATCCTTTAGACTAAAATCATCATTATTTATTTTCATCATGGCCAGTGGGTGCCCCCTCAAGCTGACCCCTAGGCCCGCACACTCTTTGAGCACATCTTTACTTTCCGTCAGCTGTGGTGGTGTGTTGGGTTAAGCATTTCAGTGCTAACTGAAAGGTGAGTGCGCCCACCCATACCTCCATGGGCGAACTGCGGGGCTGCTCTGGTTCAGTAGGGTCACTGTGGGTCAGAGTAGACCCAATGGCAGGGGTTTGCTTTTTGGTTTTGCCCGGGCTCTTGTCCTCTGCCTGCTGGGCTCTGGAGTTCGTCATTTCTCCAGAAAGCCCTGGTCCTGCCCGTGGGGCGGTATTGGGAAGCCATATTTGTACACCAGAGTCAGCAAGTACCCTGTGGATGCTCTCTCTGGACACGCCGCGCCCTGTATCTGTACACACTGAGACTGCGCACCCAGAGCTCTGCTCCAAGCCAGCAAGAACAGCAGCTCCCACCACCTGCCCACCCTCCCTCCCACTCAGACCCCTGACCTGTGCTATGGACATTGATCTGCACAGTCTCTAAGGAAACCCTGTCAAAGACAAACGAACACGGCACTCTCTAGGTTTATAATGATGTAAACATCAGGTGGGTGACTGAATCCCCAGTCAGGGAACGTCTCGGAAGCGAGTGTGCCTCCGAGTAGCTTCATGTGTGTACTTCGATTACAGATGTGGCATGAAGCGTTTGTCTCTTCAATTTCAGGGCACCACCAAAATCAATACTTTTAACTGGTCCAAAGTCCGTAAGCTGAGCTTCAAAAGGAAAAGATTTCTTATTAAACTCCACCCAGAGGTCCATGTAAGTATTCTTGTGAGCACTTTTTAAATGGTAAGGAATTTATCCTGCTGTAGTATTGAGTTTGAATCACTTCATAAATTGTTTCGGCATAAGGCAAATAAGAATTTGAAGGACAGGATTTGGAATTTGGACCTGGGAGGCGCATCAGACACCCCAGAGTGTGGACTCAGGAAGTCTGGGAGGGGTGGCTTGTCTGACAAGTCCCTCATTGGGTGTGCTGAGAGCTACTGGCTTAGTGGTTTTCTGGGCATCAAAGCTGGGGGAAGTGTTTCAGCATGGGCCAGAGCCTTGGAGCGGGTCATCGTGGACGCTCCTTCCAGAACTGAGAATGGTCTTCTCTTCTCACATGTCTTTCACTAAGAAACCAACCTCTAGTAGCCCTAAGGAAATGAATATAGTGACATAACGGTTACACCCTCAGCTACTAACCAGAAAGTCAAGCGCTTCAAACTGCCCCTTGCTCTTTGGGAGAAAGATGAGGCTCTCTGCTCCCATAAAGATTTGCAGTTTTAGAGACCCTCCACAGGGTCACCATATTTCAAAACAGACTCTATGGCAGTCAGTAGTCCCTGAGTGGCAAAAGTGATTAAGACTGCTGGTTAGAACCCACCCAGAGGTACCTTGGAACAACAAGCCAGCCCTAATTAATTACATGTGAACTTACTGAAACCAGGAGAAATGGAAAAGGAAACGTTCCCGAGTCTGATGGTTGGGGACACCCAGTACTTAGATCTGTTCAGAGATTCATATCGTTACAAGATAGAGAAACTGACGTTTACCAGAGGGCTGTGCAGTGTCAGCCTCGGGCCTGGAGATTTTAACCTCAAAACTGTTCTGCAGAAGAGCTTTTCCGGCCCCAGATGCAGGACGCCTGCCCAGAAAGACTCTGTTAAACACAGGGTCATGTGCTAAACTTACAGGTGCCTGCTACTGGCAGACGGCAGCCTGAAAGTGTGGCTTAATGGTTCTTTATTCAACTTTTGATTTTGGAATTTTGTTGTCTGAACTATTTGCTGCCTTGACCTTCTCTTGTCTGTACTTTAGACTTGAATTAGTTATTAGACGTTTGTGCTTTGTCTCTAGGGTCCTTACCAGGATACATTAGAGTTTCTCTTGGGCAGTAGAGATGAATGTAAGAGTTTCTGGAAGATTTGTGTGGAGTATCACACCTTTTTCAGACTTTTTGATCAACCTAAGCCAAAAGCTAAAGCTGTCTTCTTCAGTCGTGGCTCCTCCTTCAGATACAGGTAGGCTCTGGGACTGTCACTGGTATGGGAAGTGGAGAGAAGGTGCTCTCAGGTTAGGAAAGAGAGAGTTGTAAAGTGTCTGTCATGTGGCTGTTGTAAAAGGTAAAAACTCGAGAAACCTATTAAACAGGCTTCCTAAAGCCTCACCTACACTTGCCAAATTGATTATGCATATTCAAAGTCTAGGGAAATAAGTTTGTATACAGAGTACTCGTGTGGAACTGTGGTTCAAATCCACCAGCCACTCCTCAGAAACCCTACACAGGGTCACTGTGAGTTGGAACCGATTAGATAGCACTTAACAACACGACAAGGCATTTATACAAGGGGCTTCGACAAAAATCCATTATCATTTTATTCAGCTTTCCTAGGAACTTTCTGAAGCTCCTTCCGTGTGTGTGTGTGTGTGTGTGTGTGTGTGTTTATGAGATGGTTTTTTTCATTCTCTTGAATGTAAACAATGAATGCTGGGGTCACTTGTAATAGCTTTTTGACAAATCTGAGCCTTTATCCACAGTGGCAGAACTCAGAAGCAGCTAGTAGATTATGTTAGAGACAGTGGGATGAAGAAAATGCCATATGAAAGGTAAGCTTTGTGGCTTTCTGATATAAATTGTATGTTTTAAAAGTGATTGTTTTCAATATTTTGAACCTTGGCTTGAATAAACGTCATTTCAAATATCTAAGTTTGTATTTTGACACTTAAGTTGTATATTTAGTCTTTAAAGAGAATAGATTCATCACATCTTTGCAGATACAACCTGTTCGTCTCTAGAAATCTGTCTAGTCAGCAGTGTAGCAAACTTTTCATCTGAGAACGTCTTGTACGCTGTTTCCCGGTGGCTCAAGGTAGTTAGGACATTGCAGCTTGTCTGGGGTCCGTGTTGATTTGACTGTATTTTTCCATTTTCTCTCTACTTCCCATTAGATAGCAGCATACTGGGTCACTAGTGTTTTAGCGCATTTGTGCATGTGTCGGTGGGTTTTCTTAGGCTGGTTGTCGGGAGGAGGACCTGGTTGCTCATGACTTGTCCCCTCTTTTGCAGAAGGTACAGCAAGATGCGGATGTGTGTCCGGACTCTGACTACAGATGCGCCCAGGCAGGTCAGACACAAAGTCGGTGTGGTGTCTGCTCACCAGGCCGTGACCACCTTTGTTAGCGGTGGACTGTCTTCCTTAATCTCCTTTCCATTCTTCTGTTGAATAGGTGGCGTAGAGTTTGCCTTTTCACATTTTCTAAAGCCACCTATACTCTTTTGAAAAACAATATGGCGGTGTGGTCGGAAACCAAGCCCCGTGCTGTTGAGTTGGTTCCGGCCCTCAGTGACCCAGCAGGACAGAGCAGGACTGTCCAGGGGCCTCCCAGGCTATTAGCCAGGCACTTCATGATTTGCTTTCAAAACAAAACCAAGGAAAACTTTTGCCACTGAGTCAGTTCTAACTCATGGAGAGTCTCCCAGGCAGGGGTCTGTCTGGGACCCACCTCGACAGGGAAGTTTGGTTCACGAAGTAGGGAGATCTGGCGGCGAAAGAGATAGAGAAAGAATATACACAAAGACCCGACGAGAGAGACAAAGAGACACTCCGAAACCAGAGTGGATGCAAAACTGGCAGGCAGACCCTGGATTGCAGGCATCACGGCCCCTGCAGGCAGTAATGCACGCAGGTTTCAATCTGCGTCCGTCTTTTATTTCAGGGAGGGATTTTACACAAAGGAAGAAGGGGATTATTAAGACAGGGTACAGAAATGAAATGTGATTAATCGTTCAAAACAGGACACAATGATTTACAGGAACAAATTCTAAAATACACATCGCAAATTGTCTTAATAATCTAACATCCTTAATTTTCCAAAAATTCAAGCAAATTGTTATAAATTACTTTTTAGGCTCAAATCCTAGGGCAGTAACTCGAGGTTTCTCAAGGCTAATTAACATTCTATAGCACTTAATCTCGAATGGGTAAAGGTGAAAAAGGATTTAAACGGTCTGAAGAGAGTCAAGCTGTTTCAGCTACCTGGCTTAGGCTTTCAGGAAGAAGAAGGACCTCTAGGTTAATGGTTTACACCTGGGAACAGTTTGAGGAGGCTGTCACTATTATTCCTTGAACAATACTCTGGAATTCGCCAATCTACTTTGAGTGAATTCCTTGGGCGGATTGTCTCCAGAGCCTCTTTGCGGAATCCCAGCAAACCTGCCTTTGGAACTTTTACGGCCTCGGCTTTAGAAGAGGTTTTTGTGTTAATATTTGTCCATGGGTATCCAGGGCTCATGTATTAAGTTAATATCAAACATAACTGAATAATTTGATAAAGAACAGTTTGGACATGCTTGCCAGGTGGCCAGAGTTTGTTCCTCAGAGAGATTTGTTCCCAGGACCCTACGCACTGCCAACACAGTGGAGACATTAAGAGAGGCACATAAGAAACCATTTTCTCAGAAGCTACAATTACTGGAGTTAGAAGCATAGAATGCCTAATAAGACCGAAGAAAATTATACAGAGGTAGCCCACCAGTGAGTTAATAAAAGCCTATGAACCCGGGACGTCAGGAGGTCACTTCCTTGGCCCTCAGGGTCCCTGGCTAGCAATCCTGAGTGGGGCCTTCGTGTGGGATTTTCATCCATGACACAGGGCCTCAGCATCTCAGTGCTTGCGGTCCCCAACAGGGGTTTTTATAGGGGCTGACAGTCATCTCGTTCTCCAGAGCAGCTTGTGGGTCTTAACATTGTCACTGGAGCCCTAACATCAGTCATACCTTGTAGTGTAGCAGTTGTGTTCAGAAGGGAGTCCTGAACACAGAGGAGCTCTGTACCCTGGCATATGCATCACAGTGTTACTTGTGATGCTGCAAACCCTGAATAGTCACCTTGGGGGCTGCACTGGGGCCTGTCCACTCGATGGACTGTGATCAAGTCTTCCATTCTGCTGGGGCAAGGCTGTTGAGGGCTGCTGGGAAATACACTTGTCTCAGGAGGTCAAAGCAGCAGGTCAGGGAGCAGCCTTAGGTGTTATGGTACTTAGAAGACAGGAGTAAATGCCAGCCTGCCAGCCTCGTCTCTGAGGGTTAGGGTCACGGGTGATTATTAGCTTTCCTTTTGAGCTTGTCATATTTTCTACAGTGAGCACATACTACTTTAGATTTCCCGGAAAAGAGCTAAGTGAACACTGCTTTTATAAAAAACGGAGATGATATTCAATGTTCATAGGAGAGGTGCTCACTTAGCTAAGCTGTGTCCACTTTGTGGAATTCTCAGTAAGCATAAAAGATGTAGCTTAGAAAGAATGTGTAGTAGCTGGGGAGTTCTTACTATTGTGTGAAGAGTGAACAGCAGGAACACATTTCTATGTGGAATGATAACAACTATACTCAAACAATGGTGCACACACAGACAGTTCACAGAAGAGTATCTGGCAGGAATGTACCAGCATGTTGTGGCTGCAACTCGCTGGCACTAGAATGGCATGCAGGTGACTGTGTCCACTCCAGATGCCCACTCCTCGGCTCTTGTCGCTGACCAGCCACCACATGCAGACCTGTTCGCACAGAGCCCGCCCCAGACTACACAGCTGTGAGCTATCGCTGGCCTCGCCTCTTGTCCTGCTCCCTGCTCCCTGCCATTGCTGTTTTGACCTGTTTTCTGTCGTAGATTTTCCAAAAGCTGTACTTGTGCCTCGCCATTGTGTTCATTTGTTAACTGGGATTTGTAAATGCAATAGTCCTGCCTCCATGGCTACGTGTCCCACGTAGGAATTCCTTGTTATGTCAGTTAAAATGAAAACCTGTGATTTTGATCATTCCCTCCAGAGTTCAGTTTTGATGGCTAAGTCGGAACCTTCTAGGGTTCCGTGTAAACTCTCAGTTCTCGGTGACTGCGCTGTAAAGCCACGAGAGAACCGTGAGGAAGGGCACGAGAACAGACTGCCCCTAGACTGTCTCTACCAGGCTGCTCCCTCCCCAGGGTGTTGTGGGGCTGACGCACAAGGCACCAGGGAGTCTGTCTGTCTGATGCTTCTCAGAACCCACTTTCACTCACGCTAAGTGCACTGACCCTGGCACCCTGACTGTACCATAGGACCGAGAGTGGACTCGCCAGGGTTGCAAACAGACAGCTGGGTGGACTGTGGGCAGCCCTTCCACTCACAAACCGAAGTCTGCTCAGATGCCCTTTCTGGTGGAAGCTGTGGTGGAAATGTGCGGGTAGGACCGCACTGCTTTGCAAGTTTCTCACAGTCATTTGTCATTTCTCTCTCCTTTATCTTGACCCCACAGAGCACCTCATTCACCGAGGGCATGAGGACTCCTGTCTCCCTGTCTTCAGCAAATGCCTTCTTCTGTTCAGTGCCTCCCTCCCCGGTGTCCCCACCTGACCTCACCGAGCTGAAGGACAACAGCTGTGCCCTTATGGAGCCCCACGTGCTCCTCACCAAGACTACGGCTGTGGACAGGAGCGGAGGCACCCTGGCCGGAAGTCCTGACCCAGCCTGGCCCCTCGGCTCCCCAGACTCCCAGGCCTGCCCAGGTGCTAGCTTCTGTCCCACTGGGGCAGTGGGGCCCGGGAGGGCGACCTCAGAGCCAGGCGCAGGGAAGGCGGGCAGGGAGCGTGTTGAGGACAGCCTCTTTAATGGGGAGACCCGGCACGGCTGGCCAGGCGGTCCGGGGAGCCCTCTTTTCACATTGACAAGCCCCCCACTTCAGGTGTCTGAGGAGTTCATAGATGATGACCCGGCAGAGATCTGCTTCTTTGCAGGAGGCTCTGAGGCGTTTTCCTGCCCATATGGCTCACTAGCTCTGCAGGATGCCCAGGGACCTGCCCTGCCTCCAGTGCCCCCGACTTGGTACGACGCAGTCCCACACACACACACGGGGTCCCTGCAGTCCAGCCCAGACAGGTACTCCACCGAAGCAGTTGACATGGATGTGGACGACGAGTTTGAGTTTGAGCAAGAAGAAGGTTGCCACGGCGGTGATGCACGCCCCTCAGACACCTGCGAGCTGTTTGAGGTGAAGGCCCAGGCCAGCCTCATGCAGCGCCTGCTGAGCGCCTCAGAGACGAGCTCACTGCGCAACAACCGGTCTGAGAGCAGCTCGCTCAGCAACGTGCCGCTGACCGCAGTGCTGGCCAGCCAGTCTGGGGCCAGCTCCCTGGTGAACTTTCCCGCCTGCTCGGTCCGTTCCGAGTGTAGCTCGGCCTTCCAGTTCTCAGACATCCTGGACCAGCTGGAACAACTTAGCTACCCGCCCACGGGCACCGAAGCCTCCAGCAGCTCGGACACAGACTCGTGGGACTCAGAGACTGAGGCGCCCCTGGATGCCAACCTGTTCTTCAACAACCCTTTTGCACAGGCCCCTGGAGAGAGGTTCACCTTGGATCTGCAGAATAATTTAAATCTGGTGACTTCGGAGGAGCCCAGTGATAAGAGCCCCTCCTGAGCACGTCCCACCCCCAGGAGCCTCAGCCTCCACCTTCCGTGACCACCCTGTGTGGGTGCGAGCCCAGCACCTCTTTTCCAATCCCCTGACTCATGATTCGAAAACCTTCACTATGGATGACGTCAGCAGCTCTGATCAAGCTGGAAATAGGGATTCCCGGGGCTGATTAACTAGTTTCTGTCGCTTTCCTTTCCGGGCATCTACTTGGATTCCAGTGAGAATCAGGGCTGAGCTCCTGGGATCTGTGGCTGAAGCCTCGTGTGCTGCTCTGTAAGATGGGGTGCCCGCTCACAGCCTCGGCACCACAGAACCTGGCTGTGGAGCCTGGCCTTGGAGAGGTGCTGGCTGACAACGTACCCGGGCACAGTGGAGGGACGGAGCCTGACTCCCAGGCCTGCTCCTGGGGTGGAGTGTGAGCTAGGATGCTTCCCTCGGGATACCCGAGGTTTTTCTCCCGAGGGTCAGGGCTTTCTGTCAGACACCAGCCGGCAGCCCCTGCTCATGGCGCACCACGTGTAGAACCTTCCAGCATTTTCAGTGACTGATTTCTCAGTAATAGATCCCCAGGCCTATTAGTAATAGATCTTCAGCACACCTCTGGGTGAGCTTGAGCCTCTAACTTCAGTGAGCAGCTGAGCACGTTCACCATGTGCGCCCTGGCTTTGGTGAGGGTGTAGGCGGGCGGCTGTAATATGAGTCTGGCCGACATTCGTAGTTGTTCCGTCTACGGCAACAGGGATTCCAGTGGGGCTGAACCGCGGGGACAGTGGTACAGTCCACAGCCTCAGGTCAGCCCACGGAGCGAGCAGCTGCACCTGACCCACTGCTGGACGTCAGCCTCAGAGCCCTGACCTAGGAGCCAGGCCACTACGCGGCCGGCACCTCCCAGAGGCCCGGCAGGTGCTGCTGAGGTTTGGTGGTCTCCATTCGTTTCTGGTGCTTGTCTTGTAAAGCAGTCCAATGCTTACAGGTACATGTTTTTCCTGGTGCTCTGTGGCAATGCCAATATCAGCTCCTGTTCCGTGCTTGAGGAGCGTCGGCTCTTTACCCACATTGACCAGACGCAGTCACCAGGGAGCCTTGGAGCTGCCCTAGACATCTTGCAAACCCTGGCGGTCAGTTCTTTCCTCACTGGTGGTGGTGGTCGGATTCCAGCAGGAGTCTGGGGTCCGGGTGCTGACCCCGTGTTGTAGCATGACCGGTCACAGAGCAGGTGGTCACTGCTGGCCCGCTGATGGTAGGAACCCCTGTCTGCCCAGCCCCCAGCACGTGCCGCAGGCCTCACCGTGAGTGCTCTCAGTGCAGGGCCGTGCAGCTTCAGGAATAGGGTCTGCTCTGGGAGGCGGAGCCCAGGGCCGAAGGCAGCAATGCCCTCACTTCCTGTCGGATCGCTTGGTGTTTAAATGAAGCCTCGTTTTGTGGAGATGATTGTCTGCTTTTGAGTTAGTAAGTTTTCAAAATACACACAAGTAGATAGAGGGGTGTCTGAAGGCTGCCTCTCCTGCCCGTCCTGTGATCAGGGTTCTCCACACAAAGGTCACTGTTGGTGTCCTCTAATGCTGGCAGTACATCCGCACGCCCCCAGCTGTCTTTGAGCATTTAGAAGTCTCCCCTGCCCCGCGCACACACATCCCACCCTACACATGCACTTACACGCACACGAGTGCACTTTTGTAACCTAGAGGTCTTGTCAGAGGGACTGTCCACGGTTCTGGGCCTCACCTGCTGGCCACTGCGTCTTTCACCTGTGCCTTGGCCGTCATGCAGCAGGGCAGGGGCTTTGTCCACACACACTCCCTAGGACTGCACAGCTAGAACACGTCCCGGCGATGCAGGGGACATACACAGAGTCACATTCAACTCTTGGCACCATCTGAAGCGATTGTGAGAGGCTTCCCTTGTTCGGAATGTTGATAATGTTCTTCAGCGCTCCAACTTTTCCTTCACAAGAAAACAACGTGTTAAAAAGGCAGCGTATGACCTCTTGATTTGCTGCCTGTGGACCTGTCACCATGGGGTTGCTGTAGCCCCTTCAGGTGTGTTAGGGCTATCTGATTACAGCCGTGCGTCCCACAGTGACGTAGCTCTGTTCCTGAATGCACAGGACCTCTGGTGAGTACCTGACCCCCCCCCCCCCAGGAGCTCTACAGGTGGGACACAGGGCCTCGAACCCCAGCCTGGCTGCTCCTGGGTTTGCCTGTCACTGCCCATCATGAGCGTCCCTTCACAGTGCACTCCCGGCGCTCCTGGACACAGAATGCCCCTGAGCACCTGGGGAAAGCTGGCTGCAGGCTGTTACTCACCTAGGCTGCTCTGTGAATCCCTGCTTTTATCTGGAGCAGACCTGGTGGGATAGGAGGTTCTTTGAGGGGTTTGTCCTTTATTGCTTCATGTAGCCTGGTTTGTTGATGCAGGTGGACAGGTGTGTAGGTGCAGGTAGATGGCACGGAAACTGCTATGGTTCCCTTGCAGCCTGAGACTAAGTGCAGCTTTCCCATTAAGTCCAGCACAAACGCTACCGTCTGCTCTGTGTATTGATTTGTATTTGGTGCCAAGTCTAGTTTTGTGTCTTAAGTTTCTGAAGTCCAGGTGTTTTGTATCAGCCGGTGTATGAATACTTAAAAGCCTGACAGCACCTAACCTCTGTAAGCGCGGCTACTGTGCTTTCTAACCCTGAGACATTGACACGTGCCTTTCTAATGAAGCTGGATAATTCCAAGAATGGAGATGAGGGGGCCCTTCTTCAGTCCCTGTCTCTCGTGACCCAGGATGGGCACACAGACACAAGTTCAGGACCAGGGAGCTCCAGTCTATTGGATGAGTCATTGGCAAGGACGAACACATGATGTGTGGTAGTTTCTAAGGCCAGCTCCAAGTCACACCATGGTCACGCAGTACAGACCTGTGTCCCTGTGATGCCAGGAAACGTGTCCAGCTCCCGGAACGCTGCTCCAGGGAAGGCAGAGAGGAGCTGAGAGCTCCGTGTGCCGTCACCCTGCGCTGGTCACAGACGGCCGGTGGGGAGACTCGGACTCGGCGGGCTCCTCTCCAGCCGTGCCTCCGCCCGGGGAGTGAGTGAGTAAGCCGGTTTCCTTGTGCATCTGCATGTGGCCACGCTTCCAGGGCTGTGGTACTTACAATGTTTGTTCACTGTGGAAATGACCATTATAAATCTGCAGAGATGTACTAATTCAGAGTTTTAAAATTGCTTATTCAATAAAGTAAGGAATTGTTTACTATGAATGAAAGAATGAGCCTTTGAGCTTCCTTTCCCTCTACTTGTTTCTGGTCCTGATTTAAACAAGGTAACTCCAGCTATTAAACAAGCTCCCAGAGCAACTGCACCGTCCCTGTGTGTCCACGGCCACACCCTGCCCTGCGTGGGGGTCAGCTCACCAGTAGGCCTTCTGACCTGAGCCCTGATGTGAGGGGGCTGTGTGGAAAGCCGGGACAGGCGCTGCACTTGTGTGGTCAGCCTCGCCCTGTGTGGCCAGGATGGGCCTCTCTGGTGTGGCCCACATAGCCGGGCATGCCGTGGATGGACTCGGTGGCCCGCGTGGGTGGGCTCAGTTGGCTTTCCAAGCAGTCCTGTGGGAGGAACCAGCAGCGCCCCCTCTTGGAGCAGTGACCAGCAAACAGGGCTGTAGAGTGAGCATCTAGGTGCGGGAGCACAGTCTAGCCGTGTGAAGACAGAAAGGGATGGGCAGTGAGTGGACCCTCCCCTTCCTGGTCTCAGGCTGCACTGAGCCCTGCCTTCACACTGAGGAGACATGCAGGGCCAGTCTTGATCCCCAGGAACTGCGCTAAAGAATCTTTCTTAGATCCGTGTTTCCAGGTTCAAAGTCTTGATGTTTCTGAGCATGCGTGTCAGGGTTTCTCACCTAGTACAGGCCACCTTACTGACTCAACTGGTGTGTGTGTGGCCTTGCCTCTGTCACACCACTCTTGCTGGAGATCCCTAAGTCAGACAGTGCTTACCTACAACAGGAGAGTCAGGCAGGGCTGTGAGACCCCACACACTAGGCAGATAGCTCAGACCAGCAGTGCTGGGATCCTAACAAGGACCTGGTCTCGTTTATTTAGAACAAA